GAACTCGGAGGCATCTTGGACTCTCCAGGGTCGTCTTGGAGGCCATCTTGGACCATTTTGGGCAAACCTGGAGGCCATCTTGGACCATCTTGGCCATCTTGGAGGCCATCTTGGAGCCGTCTGGAGCCGAGAAACCCTTTTGCAACCACCTGTTACGCATCTCCGGCGGGACGGGCCGAAACCCCAGGGGGAATTCTTTTGGAATATAACCAAACCAAAAGGGAAAGGGTCTAGCACGCCGGGCACCCCTGTGATGAATCAACAGGGGGCGGCGGATCATGATATCTACGTAGTGGCCTTCGGCCCATCCCGCCACGGTGCCTGAGTTGTGGGCTGGAGGCTGCTTGGATGGTCGTTTGGATAACCTGGGAGGCCTCTCCGGGGCCTCTGGGAGGCAGTTTTGAGGCCTCTTGGGGGCCGTTCGGGGGCCTCTTTTTGGTTCTCTTGGGGGCCTCGTGAGGCCTCTACATAGGGGGTCTCTTGAGCTCTCTGTGGGGCCTCTTGGGACACCAGCTGAACTCGGGCCACACCTGAACTCGGACCCGGTCTGAACTCGAACCCAGCAGATTTCGGACCCAGACTGATTTCGGACCAGAACTCGGACCCAGCTAATAGGGCTAATCTTCGCCTTGTCTGTGGGATCCAACTGCTCCAACTGAAGTAACTCCAGTGCAACCCACGCCTCGTGGCATCAGGGCGTTGGGGTCTTGGAGAATTCGGGCCTTACGGGTTCGAATGGCTGGGCCTTCAGGGCCCTAGGGTCTAAGGGCTTCGAGGTTTATGCTTCAGGGTCTTCAATTTTTCCGGTATCAGGGTGCTCGGCATTGTCTGGATGCCTGCGGCAAGTACGACCACCGGGCAAATCAGCAGCCACCTGATCTCGCCCGTTTGTCTTGCCCCTTCGCCCTGTCCCCCCCTCGTCCTGCCCCTCCTCTCGTCGCCCTTCTTCTTTGGCTGTGTTTTTTTTTTCTCCGCCACGGTCCCCTGTGCTGCGGGCGGGAGGGGGGTCTCGAGGCAACGTCATCCATGATGCCAGCCGTTTTACGACGTGGGGGCGGAATTCTGTCTGCCAGTGCCTCCTTTTCCCCTTGTGTTTTTCCGGATTCTCCAGGTTCTCTCCACCGGGAATGAGTGAGGCTCGTACCCTCCACGGCGGGGCCGCCGACTGCGGCACGAACGCCGGATGGGGGTGAACTGTGTTACGTTTTGCTCTCCTCTCCCTCCTGCCCCTTTTTGCTGCTCCTGCCCTTTTCCCCCCTTGCCCCCTCCCTCTCGCGTCCGTCTCCCTCGCCTTCGTCTTTGTCTTGGAGTCTTTCCCGGCGCAGCCAGGGCGACCTTGCCCCGCGCCCAATCGACCCGTTCTTTCTCGTTTCCCGCGGGGGGGGGGGATCGCAAAAGGTTGTGTAAGGTTTCTTGTGCCGGCCGCGCGGCCGATGGAGTCTGCCCTGGACTCGGGTGCAACGTCTGCGTGTCCCCTGTTGGGAATGCTCTCGGCGGGTCGCGGCCGTCTCCGGGGCCCTCGGTCTGCCCCCGGGGGTGGCACGTTGCGTTCGTACCTGATGGCGAAACGACGAGTCAACCTTCAGTGCTGCCGTCAATTGGCGCTGGGGGGGGCCGAAGGCCCGTCCCCCCTGCGGTCCCTCGGCCAACGAAAACGGCCGAAGCCCGAGGGGGGGTGGGACCCGTAACCACCTCTGCCTCCGGCCACATGTGCCACCACCCCCAGCTCAACGTGCCAAGCGCCACCTACCGTACTTTCTTCCAAAACCGCCGGCAGAGACGGGGACGTCGCGCGGGCGCTTGCCTGCAAAACCTCGAGCGCGTGCGGGTCCGAGTTCAGCCCACAGCTGAACGCGGACCCAGCTGAACTCGGACCCGGAAATTCGGACCCAGCTGACATCGGACCCAGCTGATCTCGGGCCCGCTGAACTCGGACGTGGTTGGTTTCGGACCCAGCTGAACTCAAACCCGGATGAAGTCGGACCCGCTGAATGCGGACCTGGCTGATCTCGGACCCGGCTGATCTCGAACCCGGCTGAACTCGGATCTGGCTGATCTCGGACCCGGCTGATCTCGGACCCGGCTGAATTCGGATCTGGCTGAACTCGGATTTTGGCGTTCCCGCTGCAGCGCGTGCTTCGGTCTGAGTTCACTTGGGTTCGATTTCAGCCGGGTCCGAGTTCAGCTGGGTCAAACTTAAGTTCAGCGGGGTCCGAGACCAGTTACTTCGATTGGGGCCTCCTGCTGGGGGCCTCTTGGGGCAGAAGGCTGGAATTGTCGGTTCGTGTTCCCCCTCTTAGGGCGCCGGTTGGGCCGTTTGGGGGCCCTCTTGGACCGTCTTGGGGCCTTCTTGGGGGCCTCTTGGGCTGTCTTGGGGCGGTCTTGGGGGCCCCTGGGGCCATCTCGGAACGTCGGGAGCCCGAAAACGCGAGAATGCGAAAAACATCGAACACACAAGGGACATCAATGATGCTTGCCTTTTTCGGCCCTCTTGGGTGTCTTCTTGGAGCGCTCTTGGGGTTCTTTGGGGCCTCCTTGGGCCGTCTTGGGGCTATCTTGGGCGTCTTGTAGCGGTCTCGGGCTGTCTTGGAGGCCTCTTGGACCCTTTTGGACGCGTTCTGGGGCCTTCTTGGCCCGTCTTGGGACCCTCTGTCCCCTGCAGGACAGCCCGAGAACGCGCGGAAACGCCCAGGAAATTAGAGCAACTTGGGCCCCCGCCCTTAGAATACTAGGATCCCAGAGTCCTGAGTACCGAGAACCGAGGACACATGAGAGCCTGGGGTAATTAATTCCTCGTGCCTCGAGGCACGGTGGCGGCTAATGATGATGAAGAGGGAAAAGAAGAGGATGATGATGATGAGGAGGATGATGATGCTGATGATGATGCTGCTGATGATGAGGAGGAGGATGAGGATGGGGATGTTGATGATGCTGATGTTGATGATGAGGATGAGGATGATGATGAGGATGAGGATGAGGATGAGGATGAGGATGCGGATGAGGATGATGATGATGATGATGATGATGATGATGATGATGATGATGATGATGATGATGATGATGATGATTATATGGATGATGATGACGATGACGATGACGATGATGATGAAGATGATGATGCTGCTGATGATGATGATGGTGATGATGATGATGATGAGGTGGATGAGGAGGAGGAGGAGGAGGAAGCGGAGGAGACGGAGGAGGGAGAGGAGGATAATGACTGTCAGTGAGGGGAGAGGTGCGGGGCAGCAGGATGGGCAGATGATTGGCGCAGTGGGTGTGCAGATGCTGGAGGCATGGGGATGATCAGAAGAATGATGATGAGGAGAAGGAGGCGGATAAGGAAGAGGATGAGAGTACACCAAGTATGGACCAGCGGTGCTACAACACTCTTCGTCCATGGTTGCCATTTCTCCTCCTTCTCCTCATGCTTATCCGTCATGGCTTCCTCCTCCTTCTCCACCACCTCCACTGTCATTCATCATGTTCCTCCCCTCTTCTCCTCCTCCTTCATCCTCTTATCTCTCTTCCCCTCCATATGTCCCCCTCCCCCTCCTCCTCATCCTCCTCCTCATCCTCCTCCTCCTCCTCCTCCTCCTCCCCTTCCTCGATTCCTCGTTCTCCTCATCCAATTATTCCTGCTCCCTCCTTCTCCAGCTCCTGTTGCCTGCCCTCATCCAGCCCCTTCTCTTCCTGTTTCCCTCCCCCTCCTCCCGCCCTCCCCTTCATGTATTGCTCAGCGCACGACCAGTTATTCTGGTACGCGCCATGGCACCACTCTGGGCTTCATCTCTGGGCTTCAACTTCAAGGAGCACGGTGCTGAAATCACACGGAAGGTTTCTTTCCAGCAGAGGATTGTCCAGGAATGTCCCCTCCTTCTGCTCCTCCCCCTCCCCCCCTGCACCATTTCCCGTCTACCCCCGCAGTCTCCTCGCAAACAGACGCGCGTGCAACGGACATCCGTCTTGCAGTTTCGCACGGGCAGCGGAGGGGAGAGAGAGAGAGAGAGAGACCGTGGGGATGAGAATGAGGAGGAGGAGCAGGAAGAGATTAGCCAGGAGGAGGAAGACGACGACGATGATGATTAATATTATTAATATGATGATGTTGTTGCTGATGATGATGATGCTGATGATGCTGGTGATTCTGACGGTGATGGTGATGGTGATGGTGATGGTGATGATGTTGATGTTGTTGATGATGCTGGTGTTGGTGATGATGAGGATGATGATGATGATGATTATGAGGATGCTGCTGCTGATGATGGCGATGATGATGATGGTGTTGAGGAGGAGGAAGAGGAGGATGAGAAGAAGGTATGCCGAACGACCAGCTTGCCGCTAGGGAGCACTGAACCCTCCGCCCCGTCCTTCGCTCTCTTTCTCCGCTTTCCTCTCCCCGTGGCAGGAGGTTTTTGAGCCCCGCCGCCGCCAGCGGCGAGGGCCCTGTAGTCACGATCGTCCTGATTGCCACTCCTCTATCCTCCCTCCCCTCCATCCTCCCTCCCCTCCCTCCTCCTTCCTCTCTTCCCTCTTGTCTCTTCAGACTCTGCGGGGTAACGAGGGGATTCATCAGAGGTTGCACCGGCTACCGCTGACCCGTTTGCCCGACAGGGTCGGCGGGTCCACCGCTCAGCGCACCCAGTGTCGTGGCCCGAAGCCTCCCATTCCTCCTCCTCTTCTCCTCTACCCTCCGCTGGTCCCTGTCCTTGGGTTTCAAACGGCGCAGCCAGGCAGGCTAAAGTGTTGGCAATCCGGCGTGTGTGTGTGGTGGACGAAACGATTCGACATCGCGCCCTGCGTTGGCTGTCCATGTCCTCTCCTTCCTCCCTCCCTCCTCCCGCCCTCCCTCCTCGTCCCCCCTCCCCCCCCGATCCCTCCTCCTCGTTCCCCCGCCCCTCCCTCCCTCCTGGCCCCCCCTCCCCTACCTCCCTCCTTCACTCGCTCCTCCCTCCCCCCTCTCTCCTCGTCCCCCCTCCCCACCCCGCCCCCCGCCCCAGGTGCTCCTGGCTGTGAACCCGTTCCGGGAGATGCCCCGCTCTCGGACGGCGAAGGGCCCGCGGCGCGCGCGCGTCCCCGTAATGTAGAGCGGTAGCGGCGGTCGCCGAGTCTTTGGGCAGGTGCGGGGAAGGGGCGGAGGGAGGGATAGGAAAGAGGAGGAGGAGGACGAGGCGGAGCAGGGTTAGGACGTGAAGGATGATGAAGGAGGATGATGAGGAGGACGAGGAGGGACGACGAGGAACAGGGAGAAGGAGGGTAAGGAGGGGGAGGAGGAGAAGCAATATGAGGCAATTGCTAGGCTGACGTTTGAGTCTGCTGTTGATGTTGATGTTCATGTAGTTGTTGCTGTTGATGAAGATGATACTGATGATGAGGATGAGGATGAGGACGATGATGATGATGATGATGATGATGATGACGATGACGATGACGATGATGATGATGATGATGATGGTGGTGCTGATGATGATGCTGATGATGATGATGATGATGATGATGTTGCTGGTGATGACGATGATGAGGATAATGATGATGGCGATGGCGATGATGATGGTGATGGTGATGCTGATGTTGATGCTGATTGCGATGGTCATGGTGCTAATGATGCTGATGCTGCTGATGATGATCAATATCAAGCAGGTGGTGACTACGATGATGATGCTGATGATGATGCTGCTGATGATGATGGTGGTGTCGATGCTGCTGCTGATGATGGGGATGATGCTGATTATGGTGATGACGATGATGATGATCCTGATGATGCTGCTGATGATGAAGATGTTGCTGAGGATGATGTTGATGATGACGACGATGATGATGAGGAGGAGGAGGAGGAGGAAGAAGAGGGAGGAGTAGGAGGGAAAGCAGATGGTACGCAAGGACATATGAGGATGCTGGGTGGGGAGGGAGATGATGATGGTGACGATGCTCATGGAGAACCTGTAGTTGCTGACGCATAAACCCAAGAGCCATCAATGATGTTGGAATAAACCCTCCCTCCAAGCTCCCTCTTCATAAGCCCCTTACAATGGTTGATTTCCATTCAAGGAACCGCCTCGTTGGAAGACAACCGTTTGAAGACCCTGCAGCATGCCATAGCATTGTTCTCGGGATTCTAGCGCCACTGATCAAACTTACTACTGCGTTTTGACGGTTCTGAATGGTGGCAGAAGACCATTCCTGGGTCTTCAACACCGCGAATCAACGTAACTGTTGCCCCCCGCATAATCTTGAATCCTTCCCAAACACCAATTCTGGTTCGCTGACCATGGGAATCCGTGAAATTCTTGCAAGTTGTCCAAAACGAGTGCGCGCGGCACTAAAGGCGAGAGCCACATTTCGTAAAGGAACTGCCCTCAATCCGTAAAACTCCTGCATTGTTTTAATCCGGATCTGCGCGGCGCCAATGCGAGAGCCACATGTTGAAAACGATTCGCCCTCAAGCCGTGAAATTCTTGCAAATGTCTCAAATGAATGTGCGCGGCGCTAAGGCGAGAACCCCGTTTTGAAAACGGCCCGCCCTCCATGTGTGAAACTGTTGCCAATCTTTCAGCTTCAGAGTGATGAGTGGTGGGGATTTCTCTGGCGAAACGCCCGGCCCGCCCTAAAAACCTGCCTCGGGGTGCGACAGGGAGAAGTTATTTATAAGGAAAAAGAATGGAGGAGGAGGGAGGGAAGAGGAGGAGGAGGAGGTGGAAGAGGCGGAGGTGGAGGAGGAATCAGTGGAGGCGGAGGCGTTGGAAGAGGGACTTGGGACGGGAGGGTGTATTGCAGCATCGCTAATGTATCTGTGGTTTACGCTGGTTCTCCTCTTCCTCCTCCCCTCCCCGACATCTTCCTCGGCTTCCTCCATTTCCGCATCGCCCTGCTCCTCCTCAGCTTCCCCCCTCGGCTTCCGGCCACTCGGCTCCCTCAGTTTCATCATCTTTTTTGTTGTTCTTTCTTCCTCCTTTTTCCCCACATCCTGAGTGGGGTTCTTGTTTTCCCAGAACATCCTCTCCTTCTCCCTCCCGCCTCCCGCCTCCCATATCACTATCATTTCCACTCCTCCAGGGAGGCCCCGCCTGAGCGAGGAGGGTATCGGAAACCCATAGTATTTACATGGTTTCGTGCCCTTCCCACCTCTCCAGGGAGGCCCCGCCTGAGCGAGGAGGGTATCGGAAAACCATACTATTTACATGGTTTCGTGCCCTCCCATCCCACCCCTCCAGGGAGGCCCCGCCTGAGCGAGGAGGACATCGGAAAACCATGTTATTTACACGGTTTCGTGTCCTTCCCACCTCTCCAGGGAGGCCCCGCCTGAGCGAGGAGGGTATCGGAATACCATACTATTTACATGGTTTCGTGCCCCTCCCACCCCTCCAGGGAGGCCCCGCCTGAGCGAGGAGGGCATCGGAAACCCATACTGGTTACATGGTTTCGTGCCCCTCCCACCCCTCCAGGGAGGCCCCGTCTGAGCGAGGAGGGTATCGGAAACCCATACTATCTATATGGTTTCGTGCTTCCCCACATCCTGGGTGGCCCACCCCTCCAGGGAGGCCCCGCCTGAGCGAGGAGTGTATCGGAAACCCATGCAATCTACATGGTTTCGTGCCCCTCCCACCCCTCCAGGGAGGCCCCGTCTGAGCGAGGAGGTTGCTAATTCGTGTCGTTCACCGATTTGCATAACCCCGACTAGTTCCTGAGTTGTGCTTTGCCATCTCCCTGTTGCGCTTTCAGCCGTACGGGGGCGTTCGCACGTGCTGCAGCAAGGGTAGCAGAACGTGCTGGTGGTGACTTGTTGCCGACGCCATCTGGCACAAGCCTGCCCCGGTCACTCCTTCTCAGGATTTCGCGGGAGGAGGAGGAGGAGGGGGAGGAGAAAGGAGAGGTAGAGGAAGAACAAGCAGAGGAAGAGAAGGGGGAGGTGGAGGAGGAGGAGGAGGAGGGGTACATGCGTACCGAATCGATGGTAATCCATACTTCAGGGCCCGCCTTTTAGGGCCCGCCTGAGAAAGACGGCGACGCCGACGCTGCCGACGACGACTACGACACCGACGAGGGCGAAGACAGAGGAGGAGGAGGAGGAAGAGGAGGAGGAGGAGGAGGAGGAGGAGGAGGAGGAGGAAGGACGAGGAAAAATATACCACCCAGACCAACCTCACGAATCGGACCTTGGACGCCTGGGCGACTCACCCGCCCGCCCGATCCTCCTCCTTCTCATGTTCATACTCCTGGCCATCCTCCCGCTGCTGCTCCTGCTGCGGTTCCTGCTGCTGCTCTTCATCATCATCCATCCTACCTCTTCCTCTTCCTCCTCCTCCTCCAGGAGGGTATCGGAAAACAATGCAGTTTACACGGTTTCGTGTCCACTCTTCCACTCTTCCAGAGAGGCCGCGCTTGACCGAGGAGGGTCGCGGAAAGCATTGCTCTTTACCAGGTTTCGTAGCCCTCCCCCCTTCCAGCGGGGCCCCGCCAGAGCGAGGATGGCATCAAGAAGCCGTACTATTTACAAGGCTTCGTTTCCTGAGCACCTGTCCTCACTCCTCCTTTCTTTCGTCTGCCCTTTCGTGCGTACTTACTCGTTCGATGAACTTTTCCTTCGTGTTGATGTTGTCGTACCCCATGGGTCCCGCGAAACCGTTAATATCTTTAGGTGGGGAACTCCGTTAGCATAATTTTCACGTTTTTGTTTTCCTCGGCTGCCTCGTCCTCCTGGGAACCCTTCGGGAGCGGAGGACGCTATTGGCATTTCCGAATTCAGTAGCCGTGGTCACCTGGTGGGGAGACACAGCTGCGTGCTGATTTGTTGTAAGTGTGCTGGGTTTCTGGTGCTGCCGTATGGGGTCCCGAGAGCCTTGAAGAGCCAGTGTCTTGGGCCCTCACAGGTTCCGTCGACCCGTGATAAGCAGCGTCGCAAGCTGGCCAAGGCCGCTAGAGGCGACATCCGTCCACAGGAAAAGTTTTGCAGGACGAGCCGCCACTGCAGGGCCCCTCGCCGAGCCTAGTGCCGAGGCCCCTCCGAACGGAGGAGGCCGCATCAGAAGTTCTGGAAGGGGGGACTCGGGCGTTGGACGGTCGGGCGGGAGACTTAGGCGGGGACTCTGGATCTTCGGACTGGTCTCCAACTCGTTTCGTTCTTCTGGCGTGCTCGGCGTCGTGTCGATCTTTGCCGCTCGCCGCCGTGCTGCCGTAGCTGCTGGCGGCTGCTCACCAGCGTGGAGTTCCATCAGGACCGCGTTGTCTTTCCCGTTCTCTCTCTAGCCTGATGGCGTTCGTTTCCCTGCGGACGCTCTCCAGTCGGCGCCCGCCTCCACCGTCACCCCCCGAGCCGGGGCGCCCGAGGCCGAGCCTCTACGGCGCGGAGCAGCTCGCCCACTTCGCCGAGCCCCCCGCCGACGAGGACGGGGCCTGACCGCGTCGCCCGCGCCGCCCCGGCCATCCTCGCCGCAGGTCCTCCTCGTCCATGCCCTCCTCCTCAACGTCCTCCGCCTCCTCCCCCTCCTCCTCCTACTCCTCCTCCTCCTGCTCCTCCTCCTCCTGCTCCTCCTCCCGCGCCTCCTCGTCCTGGGAGCTGAGAGATCTCTCGGCTCTCACGCTCGCCGCAGGGTTGTACACTCCTTGAGGTCTATATCTGCTCTGTTGCTTGCACCGGTGGTAGCTCTGTATCTACATATTCTTTGTCGTCGCCGTCCTCCTCCCTCGTCCTTCTCATCATCACCCGCGCTCGTTCTCCTCCTTTCTACGTTGCGCGAACTTGGGCTGTGTGAGCCGCAGCGTTTGCAAGCTCCCTCCTCCTTCCTTCCTCCTGGGTATCGTCCTTTTCCGGATCCTGCAATTCCGCCTCGTCCTCGTCGTTGGTTCGATTTCGAGGCGCTCCAGACTCACCCCCACAGCCACGCCCCGCCGCTAACATGTTTCAGTGATAGAACTTGAGGGTTTTGCTCGACGACTCAAGCACAAGGCAGGCGGCGACGACAAGGGGCACGCACGGACCACCACAGGACGCGGCGATTTACCGACTTGGTGGGCACGACGAATATGAAGAACGTGGCGAAGCTCTTGGTGGTGCTGACGCGCCCCATCCAGACCCACGCGGCCGAGCTCAGGGAGGTCACAGACATGCTGTGCTACACAGTGCTCCTCTCCGCAGAATGCGCGGTAGTTAAAAGAGGCAAAGGCCGAGGGCACCGCCTATCACGAAAAGGCAAAAGAGGCAAAACAGGATCCACCGATGTCCGAGGCGTTGGGCACACTGTACCCGTACATCTTCATGGCAGCATTCAGAGCGCTTAAGACACTGGCCGCACAGCTGGACCCCCAGGAGAAGATCTTCCTGGAAGGGTTTTTGGAGACGCGCGTGACGCTGGCAGCTTCACTCCTCAACTTGGCGGAGGTGGTACTCAATTGCAGGGCCAGGCCAGTGAAGAATTATGATGGAGCAGGAGAGACTTGCAAGGATTTCTTCGCGGTGAAATCCACACACACAAACACGGAGCTCGAGGCGGTCCTGATCCGAGGTTTGAAGCTGATGGGCGGCCAGCCCAAGATCGGGTCAGCACCGAGGGGCCCACTGGAGAGGATGGCGCAGGAGCTGCTGACGGATCTCGATGTCGGCAGTAAAGACGGATACCGAGCAGCACGCAAAAAGTTCATGATCGGGCGGCACTCGATTCGAGTGCTAAAGCTGGTGCTAAGATGCCAGGTGTCTAGTTCAACTGCGCTCGCTCTGGCTGCAAGGTCAGCCCCCCTTGCACCTATTCGCCGAGCAGAGGCGAGCAGTAAGGGAAAGGGCGGGAGGTGTCGGTTCGAACGTGGGAGGGAGGATTGGAGCTCACAGGAGATATACATTTTTTTTGTTTCTGGCCGTAGCCCTAGTCTTGCCTCAAGGGGAGTGTCGAGCGCCCCCACAGGCCATCCCGCGAACCTGGGCGCTGCAGACGACCTGAAAAAAGGGCGTTTCCCCTCCTGCGCGCTGCAGCCCCGTAGTCTTTGATGCTGGCAGACACTCAGCGCACGTCACGCTTCGCTCAAGCTTTTGAGAGCCGACGCATAGTCGAGGCACGTTTCTCCGTAGCAACGAAGAGACAGGTGGACATCACTCCTAGAGATGCTGAGTTGAGTTGGGTCGTCGTCCTCCTCCTCTTCTTTCTCCTCTTCCATCTCCTTCCTCGTATCTCTTCCCTTCCCCCTTGTCCGCACCTGCCTCCTCCTCGTCGCGTGTGAACATGTGCGTGGAAGGAGGTGCGGCAGGTCCGTCGGCATTTTCGCCTCTCGTCGTCGTCCCACTTGTCCTCCTCCTCCTCCACCTCCTCCACCTCCTCCTTCTCCTCCTACTCCTTCGAGCTTCGAGGTGGGAACATGAGTTGCAAGTGGACCTGTTGTTTTGCCGTTCCCCTTCCTTCTTAACGCCGTTTCTGAGCCCGCTCCACCTCCTCCTCCTCGTCCCACCTTTTCCTAGACTTCCTCCTCCTCCTCCTTGCCCTCCTCCTCAGTCTACCGCCCCCCCCAGCTCGGAACCAAATCCTCCCTCACCTCCTCACGCATTCCCATCCTCCTGTCCTCCGTATCCTTTTCCACGTGCGCCTGCACCATGCGTCTGCCCCGAGCGAGGAAGCCGCCACTCCCCACATCTACGGGGTCGCTCGCGCCGCCTACTACGGCGTCTGGCACCGCGGGGCCCACCAGACGGTGCTCGTCTCGGGGGAGAGCGGCGCCGGCAAGACCGAGGCGGCGCGAGCCTGCTGGTCTTCTGCTTCGTCGTCGTTGCGTCGTCGTCGGGCGTGGAGGAAGGGGGGATGAGGAGGATGAGGGAGGAGGAGGAGGAGGAGGAAGAGGTAAGAGGAGGAGAAGGAGGAGGAGGAGGAGGGGGAGAGGAGGAGGAGGAGGAGGAGGAGGAGGAGGAGGAGGAGGAGGCGGTGGGGGGTCGAGGAAACGAGGAAGAGGGATGTAGAGGAAGGGAGTCAGGGATAGGAGGAGCGGGGACAAGCCGATGTTGGATGATGCTGATGATGATGATGATGAGGAGGATGAGGAGGATGAGGATGAGGATGAGGATGATGACGATGATGCTGCTGCTGATGCTGATGCTGATAGTGATAATGGTCTGGTGATGCTGATGATGACGGCGATGATGATAAGGATGATGATGATGGCAATGGTGATGATATTGATGATAAAGGTGACGGTGATGATAATAGTGCTGATCATGATGTTGGTTATGGTGGTGATGATGTGATGCTGATGAGCCTGTGATGCTGGTGATGGTGATGCTTCTGCTGATAATGGTAATATTGTGAATGCTGGTGGTGGTGATGAAAAAGATGGCGACGACGATGGCAATAACGACGATGATGCGGTTGATGATGATGGTGGTAACGGTGTTGGTGAGTGTGATGATGACAACGATGAGGGCGAGTATGATATCGATGTTGGCGCTGATGCTTTTGGTGGTGGTGATGTTTATGATGATCGGAGGCTGGGGTGTGAGATCGCAGTGGAACGGAGACCCCCAACCAGGAAATCAGTTCGTTTCGTTCGTGTCGTGATTCTCCCCCTCCCGCCTGTCTGGCGGTGGCCCGCGGTGTCCCGCGGTGTCCCGTGGTGTCCCGTGGTGTCCCGTGGTGTCCGCCGTTTCTAGGGCGAAGTCAAGACAAATGATTCTCCCCCTCCCGCCCGTCTGGCTGTGGCTCGCGGTGTCCCGCGGTGTCCCGTGGTGTCCCGTGGTGTCCGCCGTTTCTAGGGCGAAGTCAAGACAAATGATTATCCCCCTCCCGCCCGTCTGGCTGTGGCTCGCGGTGTCCCGCGGTGTCCCGTGGTGTCCCGTGGTGTCCCGTGGTGTCCGCCGTTTCTAGGGCGAAGTCAAGACAAATGATTCTCCCCTGCGCGCCCGTCCGTCCGTCCGTCCGTCCGGCGGTGGCTCGCGGTGTCCCGCGGTGTCCCGTGATGTCCCGTGGTGTCCCGTGGTGTCCCGTTGAGTGAGATCGATAGTGAGATCGATAGTAAGATCGATGTGGTGCCCCGAGGTGTCCCTTGGTGTCCCGAAGAGTCCCAAAAAGTGAGCTCGATAGTGAGATCGATATTGAGATCGACAGGTGCCCCGTGGTGTCCCGTAGTGTCCCGTGGTGTCCCGTTGAGTGAGATCGATAGTGAGATCGGTAGTGAGATCGATGTGGGGTTCGGAGGTGTCCCGTGGTGTCCTATGGTGTCCCGTTGAGTGAGGTCGATAGTGAGATCGATAGTGAGATCGAGAGGTGTCCCGCGGTGTCCCGTGGTGTCCCGTGGTGGCCCGTGGTGTCCCGTGATGTCCCGTTGAGTGAGATCGATAGTGAGATCGATAGTGAGATCGATAGTGAGATCGACAAGTGTCCCGTGGTGTCCCGCGGTGTCCCGTGGTGTCCCGTGGTGTTCCGTTGAGTGAGATCGATAGTGAGATCGATTGAATCAGATGTTGTTTCCCCCCTCTCTCCCCCAAAACCTCCTTATCACCCGAAGGGTGGTCGTATAGGTACTGGATATGGTGCTGCTTCTGATTTTGATGATCTTGTTTTCGTTGGTAATGATGCTGCTGGTGATGGTGCTGATGTTGATGCTGTTGCAGCCAATGGTACTGTGACTGCTGGTGACGATGATGGTGATGATGTTGTTGATGCTTATGCTGTTGATGACGATAATGACGGGTATGACGATGATGATGTTGATAATGACGATGATGTTGCCGATGATGATGCTGATGATGATGACGACGATGATGATGATGCTGACGATGGTGACGATGATGGTCATGCTGTCGATTTGGTAATGATGATGCTGCTGAGGGCGATGGCGTTGATGGTGATGATGATGAGGATGATGATGCTGCTGCTGATGATAATGATGAAGTGGATGTTGTTGATGATGAGGAGGATGATCATGGTGATGATGATGATTATGACGAGGTTGATGGTGATGGTGATGATACTGATGGTGATGATGGTGATGATGGTGCTGATGATGATAATGATGATGCTGGTGATGCTGCTGATGGTGATGATGGTGATGATGATGATGGTGATGATGATGATGATGAGTATGACGGTGATGAGTCGGAGAAGGAGGAGGATACTTGTGATGATGGAGGGGCAGGATGAGTAGGAGAAGGAGGAAGAGGAGGAGGAGGAGGACGAGGTGTAGAAGGTAGGATAAGGATATTCCATTATTCCCCTCGCGCCTTACGCCTGTTTCCCCTTCATCTTCGCCTAGCCGTTGCTCTTTCCCTCCTTCCCCACGTGCTCCTCACCATTTCACATCCGCCTGCTCCGCAGCCATTTTGACTCAAGCCATTTCGATCGAATCTCCGTGCCGCCTGTGCCTCTCGCTATTGCATTCTCTATATACCACAGCTGCCTCTGGCAATTCCGCCACCGTGCCAGCGCAGAATTCTGGGTGGCAGCTACTCTTGAAGGCCAGGGGGCCTGCTGGGGGTCTCTTGGGGCAGAAGGCTCGAATTCTGGGTATCGTGTGCCAGTTCTTGCTGCCCTCTGGGGCAGTTGTGGGCGCCTCTTGGGCAGTCTTGGAGCCCTCCAGGGCCGTCTGGGTGCTCTTCTGTGAGCATTCGGGGGCGCCTCTTGGGGCCGCCTTGGAGCCCTCTTGGGCCGTCTTGGTGCCCTTTGGTGGGCCTCTTGGGCCGTCTTGGGGCAGTCCTGGTGGCCTCTTAGGTCACCTTTGGACGTCGGAAGCCCGAAAAGGCGAGAACCCGAAAAACCCATCAAAACTTTACTACAAGCAGTGTTTGTTGTCGCTCGAGTCCATCTGGGGAAGGCTTTTGGGGCTCTCTTGGGGCACCTCGACGGCCTGGTGGGCCAACTTTAAGCTATCTTGGGTCGTCTTGAGGCGGACGTGGCCTGTCTTCGAGCAAGATTGGGCCGTCGTGGAGGCATCTGGGCCTCGGAAGCGGGAATCTGGTGTGTGAGGGGTTCTGGCCTCGGGAAGAGGGGCCAATGCACGCAGGTGGGCACTTCGGGAGAGGAGGGGGGGAGGGTTCTTGGAAAATTACAGAAGACTGGCCAGACAGACCTTCCACGCCTCTACGTGCACAAGGCACGGTGGCAGATTCTGCCTTGTGGGCCGGATCCGCGAGGATGCCCGCGTTCCCGCGGCGCCTGCAGGCCTGCGCGCTCCTCGCCGGTGCCGCGGCCTTGACGAGACTGGAGGGCGAGGAGAGGGGCACCGGCTCAGTGGACCTTGTGGGCTCAGCGGACCTGGTGGGCTCCGCCGACCTGGTGGGCTCCTCCGACCTGGTGGGCGCCGCCGACATGGAGAGCGCGGGCTCTGCCGACTTCAGCGGTATGAGCTCCCTCGACTTCGTAGCCAAGGGCTCCGCCAAGTACAACCGCAGCCGTTCCGTGCGTATTCGTCAAACGCCCGAGGAGCTGGGCTTCACCAGCGAGGGCGATCCAGAAGTGACCGGCGAGCAGGCCCAGTTCCACGAGAACAACTGCCTCGACCTGGGGGCGAAGGGCTTCCCGCTCCCAACGTTCGACATGCTCCAGTCGATCCAGTGGGACGCCTCGAGCTACTTCGAGCAGCTGCAGACGAGGGGATACGCCGAGGATGCTCTCCAGATGACGGGCCCACAGGAGGCGCTGCTGTCGGGCTCTTGCGCGAGGGAGAACTTTCGCAGCGGCAAGGTGAAGCACATCTTTGTGGGCGACTCCCAGATGATGGTGCTCCGCAACGCGTTCCACAGGCTGAACAAGTGCCCCGAGGTGTGGTGGTCGAGCCAGTCCGAGAAAACGGTCAGTCACCGGAAGGAGTTGCAGGCGAAACTCAAGAAGGGCAGGATGCATTCGCTCACCGACCAGTCACCAGTGGAGATTCTGCCTGAGGGTTGCCAGGAAGAGGGCATCGCGTCGTACATCTATTGGGACGCGTGGGCGCAGAAGGAGCTCCCGGTCGATGAGATCAAGCACGAGATGGAACAGCTTCAGGTGGATCCCAAGGACGGTGGCGACACGGTGGTCGTCTGGGTCGGTTCGAATTTCATTGAAGCGGGGCGCAGGATGTCGTCGCTCCTCGAAGTGATAGACAAGCTCCACAGCCTCGGTGTGAAGATGGTGTGGGATTCGCCGACCTTCCAGGACTCCGCCATCATGGCTGCCACGTCGACGAAGGACGGAGGGATTGACAAGCACACTAGGATTCCCACCGCCTACACGTCCATACAGCAGAGGAAGACTCAGGGGGCGCTGGGCTCCAACCAGTTTCTAGTGGCCTTCGGTCCATCCCGCCACTGTGCCTGGATTATGGGCCATGCCCTATAGGATGTTCGCTTGGATATCGCTGGGGGCCGCTCTGAGGCCTCTTAGGGCGTCTTGAGGGCCTCCTAGGGCCTAGGGGTCTCTTGGGGCCTCTTTGGGGCCTCTTGTCGCCTCCTTGCGGCCTCCTGGTGGCCTCTCGGGGCGGACGACTCGATGTTCTGTTCGTGTTCCGCTCCTTGGGCCCTTCTTGGAGTTGTCTTTTGGCCGGTCTCGGGGCCGTCCTGAGCCCCTGTTGGGCCGTCTTGGGTCTCTCTTGGGAGCTACTTGGGCTGTTTCTCGAGCGGTATTGAAGGCCTCTTGAGGCGTCCTGGAGCGTCGGAAGCTCCCACAAGCGAGAGTCCCACACGCATTGAGACACGCAAGGGACCCATGACATGGATTTTGCCGCTCGAGGTTTCTTGGGAAGGCTCTTGGAAGCCTCTTGTGACGTCT